ATTAAATATCGAAATTAGAAGAAGAATGCACTATTTTTAATTATAGGAAATGCGTTTTTCTAAGGTACATAAACTTTTGGGATTGACTGTATAGCCAATACATCCTTAAATAAACATTAACAAAATAGCATTGTAATCGTATATTTCGATGTAAAAATTTTTAGTAGTAGTTCAATCGTTGTTGACGATCGACTGATCTCTTGAATTGGATGCGTCCAGCGGAACCAACGGTTACTCAACATGTGATTTCATTCCTCCCTCTGTTTCACTAGATTTATCAAGAAATCATGACTGAGCATTTAGTTAGAAATCACTTGATTCCGCTGAACGCACACGCATTATGACAATACTTCTACTAAATTAATTAAAAAGCATCGTGCATGTTTGTTGAAAGATCCATCTACGTTTGACGTATTTAATCCTTGTTTAATGCTCTCACAGTAATGCCGCCCACGACGGAAACCGTGCCTAAAAAATAAGAGAAACGTTCTTCCGAATGAATGAGAATAACGTAGAAACGAATCTGTGATCGAAGGCATGCTGGCTGACACTTCGCTGCTGGAAGGCTGTCCGACCAATGCATACCTCTTCTACTGCGACGTACCGTCCCAGTGGAACGAGCGCAGTCTGGGCAGCCCCGTTGTGCTCAATTAATAAGACTGACTATAATAAATAACAGTAATCATACTAACAGTACAAACGTAACGATTATTGTAATTGTGTAGAAACCTCGTTGATTAATCAAATACAAAGACAGCTGTGAAGTTGAATAACGTTTAAGAACTCGGCTGTGAACGAAGCGAATCAAGAGAACGAACTCGAGTTTGTCGATCCTGATCCCGTTTGCCTGGCAAGATTCATCGACCAACAATAACAAATTCCAACGACTAACCGTTTAACGAAGCTCGAACGACAATACTAAAATCTAACAGAATCAAAACCAGTAACCAGCTTCTTGCACTGACCCGTGGAGATGATGGCGGTCAGAACGAGAAGAAAACGAGTGACTTTTTACAACAGCGAGCACGAGTACGAACCGATCGGGCCGCCGTCGCCGTTGCCGAAACCGGCCACGGCGCCGGTCGTCCAGATCACCGACACGGATATGGTGCCCGTCGTTGACAGCGACGACAGCATCGACGACCGGTCGAGGCTACCGCCGGAGCTGACGCGCGCCGGCGATGTGTCGATTCCCTTGGACGGGAAGATCGAGGACACCATGATGGAGGGTCGCGAGCTCGGCGAAACCGGGGACACATCCGAGGAGCTGGAGAGCCCGCAGCAACTGCAAGACCGGCTCGAGGAGCGGTTCCTCAGCGCACCTACGCCCGGTACTGAGTCCAGAACCGACGGCGAGGTCAACACTAGTCAGGTCAGTTTCATTAAAAATCCACGAGATAAAGGCAGATTTTTTTATTATAATATACAGGATGATTGACGAAACAGAAACATAATAAAGTTAATAATTTCTGAGAAAAATTCAGTTTGAAGACTTGTTTAGAATTATTATAAATAGAAAGCATTACGAAAGTTTGCAGAATAAGGGAGATCAGAATAGATCCTCCAAAAGTTAGTTCTATTTTATGTAACGAAAATTGTAAATGAAATTTCAACTTTACTCGCAGACACAGTCTGCTATGGAAATAGACAGATAAATTTATCTATCGATCACCACAGTCGCTTTGTCTGATCTGAAATAAATTCGTGAACGTTGTTCAAGTGACAATTAGTCTCCCGAGTGTTTAGGTCTTCTTTTTCTCGAGGAAGTGACTCGACAGTCTCAGACCAGAATCAGAGTTTCTCAAAAGGAACAGAACGTCGGCGTTTATTGGTCACCGTACTTATATTTAGCGGGGCGCGAGTATAAAAAGCAATGGAGTCAACGTGTCACTGTCCGAGCATTGTGCAATCGCGTCGCAAACGTTCCAGAGAACTCTGACTCTCCCATTCGTTGCACAATCCATGGGACAGCATTTTCTAACATTTGTTCCTTGCACTAGTTTCAATTTCGATTATTCAATTTTTCAATCATTCAATCAGTCAATAATTCAATTGTATAATCGACTGACGCACGCAACGTTTATTATTTTTGCATTAAAATCGACAGTCCGCGAATCATCTTCAGTAGCGGAGAACTTTTTAAAACGTTGGTTCGAGAACGAAAAGATACATCATCGACCGACTCTATCTGTTTAGTTATGTAAGACGTTAGAAGCTCTGGCCGGTGAAAAAATAATAATTGACGATGGATAATCTATTTCGGGCCGCCACGCGTTCGACGAGCTGCAGGCGCGTTTCTCGACGATTTACCCATTAAAAAACAAGCAGAATTAAACTATGAGATTTCTTTCTCACGCTTATAGAACCGTAGAGGAAAAAAATGCTAGCTATAAATTAAATCAAGTTCGCACCTCTCTTTGGTTGATTTTCATTCACAATACTAATTCCAGCCGTGCATACCGTCTCCCAAAACGATCTCGGCGATCTCCTTTCCATCCAGCGCGTTTCGTCAATCCGCTCGTGACGCGCCTTCTGCGCACAAAAGGGAGAAGCGATTACATCAGTGAACAAATAAAAAAACAATCGATCGTCGATCTCTGAATAAATTCGAAGCATCCCAGCTACGCTACACACGTTCGCGTCCATTTGCGTCTCGCAGTCTCGTCAGAGGATCCTGATGGTCAGATGTGCTGATATTTTTATTTCAGGTAGACTCGTTGGCATTGGAGGAGCTTCCGCTGCGCCGCGGTGCCCGGGGCCTGCCGCAGCGCATCAAGACACAGGCCGGCAAGCTGCGTACGCGTTTGAGGAACATCCAAAGACCGACGTTCGCGTTCGCGGAACGGCAGAAGCAGGAGAAGGCCAGGCCGGCGAGCAGCGGCAGCAGGTCGGACAGGTCCAGGACCGAGAAGAGGCCCAGTCGAATGGACAGGATACGATCGTCGTTCTCTGACAATCGGCCGCGATTCAGTTTGCCGGGTCGGTTGTCCATGCCCGATCGATCTAAATTTCATTTGCCGGAACGGCCAAAGTTCAGTTTCGAGAAGGCCAAGTTCCACCTTCCGGACAAGTCGAAGTTCAACATCAAAAGACCGAACATTCGCCTGCCGAACGCTTTGACTCGCGCGAAGAAATCTCCCAGCCACGATCAACGATCCACCGAGTCGAATGTCGGATCTAAGAGGAACATTTTCGACTTCTCCACTTATCCCCGGATATTCGATAAGAAGTCGAAGAGCAGTGGCGAGTACGCGACCTCCACGCCGAAGGACTCGAGGGCGGAGTCCGCGGAGAGCTCCACGTTCCCTAGAGCTAGGAAGAGGAGGCAGTCGTGGGCGGAGAGGTTTGAGGCGACCTCCGGCTTCGAGGACCAGTCGGATGGAGAAGCTGCGGTGGAGAGGAGCAAACCCTGGCGTCATCCTTCCATGGAAGAGCCCAGATTGTCTATGACGGGAGGGGAACAGATCCGTATACCATGGGAAGAGAAGCACAGACTGCAGGAGGAGGAGGAGGTCCAGTACATGGATTACGAACAGGAGTCCCCGGAGACGTCTGACAGACAACAGCATCCTACGTCAGAGGCTTCGAGGACCGAGGAGGAATCTTACGAAAGAGAATCGGATCCTAAGTTGTACCGATCTGGGAAGGTCAGAGAAGAAGAGATGGAAGAATGGAAAGAGGACGAAGAGATACCTGGAGGCGGTTTCAGACCCATCCCGAGGTCCAGGTCCTTAGAAGCGGTGCTGCGTAGCAGACAGGAGGAGAGATACGAAGGAACGTTCGCGACGGTAGACCCTAGGAGATACGGAGTGCATAAAACTCCTTCTGAAGAAGAGGAATACGAGGAAGAAATGGAAGAAGACGAAGAACGGGACCCCTCGTCTGCTCAATCGGACAGGGAGCAGCAGCAGTCGAGTACCAGCTCCTGTGACCGACGTCGTCGCGGAGTAATAGAAGAGATAGACTCGGACGAGTTCTTCGTCCGAGCCGGACTCAGTCACGACGATATGAACCTTGACAAATATTTAACGAGCGAAGTCAGAGACGGTCTGAGACCGGAAGGGAACGTGCTGGCGGACGAGGAGATGGTCCCGATTCCTCCGCAGCGTCCGATGAGGAAACGATCGCGGAGGAAGAATCAACGAGAAGTTTCGATAGAATCATACGACGTTGTTCCGCCTGTCAGACCGAACAGAGCTCGTAGGAGCGAGTCGATGGACGAGCAGTTCCGCGAACGAACCAGGAGCGACTCCAGGCACAGGGTGGTTTATCAAACGGAGGGAGAGCCCGCGGAACTCGCGGTGGAACCGTTGGACGACATTGTAGTAGTAAAACCAGCGCGTAGAAAGTCAAGATCCTTGCAGCGCAGCCAGTTACAAATTCCAGCGGAAATTCAAGCGGAGTCGACGCCACCCGTTGCACCTACTCGCCGCAAGCGATTGCGCAAGGAGCCGGAAAGAAGAAACGGCGAGATCCCGATTTGTAACGGGCATACCGAGTGGACGGGTTCCGCCCCAGAAAAACCACTTCCCTTGCCTCCAGCGACGTCGATTAACCAACTGGAGGATCAGGAAGTATACACCGCCGAGGAGATCATTGCGACGAGCGAGGAGAACATCCAGAAATTGGCTACGAGGCTTCGAGAAGAAGAGATGGTACCGCCACCGGTTCCACCGAAGAGGAGGTCTAGATCCAGAGGCACTTCCGTGGCCCAGGACGAGGATAGAACGTCCCACGGTGCGGAGTCGTTACCGGAAGCTGGCTACGTAGAAGAAGACATCCCACGGGACGACGTGGACCTCGAGAGAGATTTATCCGGTTACGCTATCATCGAGAAACGAGAAAAGCCGCCGAGGCCTCCGCCTCCGAGAAGGAAGAGGGACAAGTTCGCTACTGCACCCAGATCGGTTCCGCCTAAACGTCCTCAGAGAGCCTACAGCACTCTCGGCCCGGCGAAAGCCAAAGACATCAGTATACTAACTGACACTTACGACAGCACTTTGATAGCAGCCGAATCGTTGCCATACGTGGACGTCGACTCCGACGGAGAACATAAAGATCTCCGTAGCAACGAGGTTTTGAGCAAAATGCAGGGACGTCCATTGCCGGCGCCACCCAGACCCCCGAGGATCAGGAAGGATCAGTCTCAGGAACGGTCCACTCGCGAGACGACGCAGGAACTGGTCACGGAAACGACGACTGCCACGCAGACGGATCCTTTACCAGACGATATGGTGATAGAGGAAGAAGTGACTCAGGCGAAATTAGTCGTGGCACCGTCTATGTCCGGTTCACAGATCATGGTCTCCACAGAGAGGATACCGAGTCCTTCGAGCATGAGCACACCCCCGGTACCACCGCTGCCGATGTCCCAAAGGCTACGCAAAGAGGAACAGCCCGCGTACGATACTGTTTCCTTAAAGTCTCCGTCACCGGCCAGGGAGATGGAGGTGTTTGAGGACAGACATCTGTCGGCGCCTCATCTCCAAGAGCGCGACGAGGATTCGCATTTAAAAGCCATACGATCCGCGCTACTCTCGGACGAGCCTGTGAGAATCAGCAATTTGGAAGTGGGAGATCTGAGAGTGGATCGTCTGAGCGTTTCCCAGATCGATGCGGGGAAGATCGTCGCGTCCGAGGTAGACGCGTTAGTGATCACCGCGTCCGAGTTGAAAAGCATGGGAGCTGGTATGGAAGAGAGCCTGTCGCCTTCCATCATCAGAGAACTGATGGCCATCAGGAGTCACCTGGAGACAGTGGCTAGGGTGCAAGAGATTCAGAGAGAAGAGAGCAAGTTATTGGAGATAGAAAAGAAGACAGACATTCCCGTTGCAGAGAGGCAAGAGGAGAAGAAGCCGAGTCGGGAAGACGAGAAACCGGCGGGCGAGGAGAAGGAGGAGCAAAAGGTTGTTAAGAGTAAAGTAGCCGAAGCAAAGGATATACCGACACACACACTAACGGTCGTAGAAGACAGAGAGACGACACGAACACTAGAAAACACGCCTGTAGAACCGAGCGACAAAGATACAAGCACATGTCTAATATCCACCGTTCAGACTCAAGATAAGTCCTTACAAATTCTAGATACAGAAAGAAACCCCCTGAGCCCAGGGGGCGGCAGGAAACGCTCCATCGAGGAGTCCCGCGCTTCCCTTCCCCCGTCTCCGGCTGTGGAACCCACGGAAGAGAGCAAGGAGTCGAGGCTGTCCCCGGATCGCGTGTCCGAGAGTGGCAGCGAGTCCGTCGAATCGAAATCATCGCCGCCACCAGAGTTCGCGGCCTTGGAACAGAAGCTGATACAGACGTCGCCCGATATTGGCGAACGCAAAGTACGAAAATCGAGGTCCAGGTCTTCCTCGCCTTTAGGTATCTCCCAAACGCCGCTAACTGCCTCCCCGGTCCGATCGCTACCGCCCGTCATCTCGGTGACGCCGGACACACCGGACAGTTTTGCGAGTCATGGCACCAGCAGCGACGCACAACCGCAACGTGCCGTGATCTCTTACACCTCGTACACCGAGCAATCGGACAGGGAGTCGCAGAGGGAATTCTCCCAATCGCCGTTACCCTCTTCCTTTCCTTTGAACGGTACTCATCTGATAGCCTTCCCGGCCTCGCAAGTCCCGACGCAGTTCTACTCCCTGACC